GTTCTGAAATGCGCAGGAGCAGAAAACCAAGTTAGCGGGGTAGGAGGGGGTGGGGATCTGGCACTATGGGTGCCAATCTCCAGGAGTGGCCTGGAGATCTCCCAGCAGGGGCAATTTCCTGCAGGAGTGCACAGGAGCGGAGCTCCGGCAGTAAAGAGCCCAGGGGGCCGGCACATGCAACAAGCCCCGCCCCCTGCTTCCAGCAGCGCTCAGTCAGAGCAAGAAGCAGCCAGGTAAGTTGCAGTGGGTGTTGCCTTCTGACACACTTCCGGTGATGTCAGGGGGTGTGGCATATGCAAGTAAGTTATGCTAATGAGTTATGCTAATGAGCCCCTGCACCTCTTTTTCTACAGAATGGCCCCTGTCTCCCAGAATCACAACTGGTCTCCAGGCGACAGAGATCAGCTCCCCTGGAGAAAACAGCTGCTTTGGTGGGTGGACTCCATGGCATGGTAGCTTGCTGAAGTCCCTTGCCTCCCCAAATGAAGATAGATCCAGGTGGGGCAGCCATGTTGGTCTGAAACAACAGAACAAAGTCAGAGTCCAGTGGCACCTTTAAGACCAACAGAGCTCTATTCCAGCAGTGAGCTTCCGTGTGCATGGCACACTTAGTCAGACAAAGTGTGCCGTGCACACAAAGGCTCACACCTTGCAGGGCCGGCTCACTCACTAGGCGAACTAGGCGATCGCCTAGAGCTGACCAGCCCTTAGGGGCGCCAAACTGCACCCGGCCCCATACTCTGAGAGATTCTTGATTATTTGTTTGTGTTTTTCATTCTTCCAAAAATGCATTTATTATTGGGAAATGGTGGGCGCAAGGGGGGGGCGCCAGAAGGGATCCTCGTTTAGGGGCAAAATAAACTGGGGCCGGCCCTGACACCTTAAATAAAACTTTGTTGGTCCTAAAGGTGCCCGACTGGACTCTGACTTCGTTCTGTTGTTTTCCTGGTTGGTTTTAATTTTTTAAAACAATCCAGAGTTGACTGAAAGAGAAACACAGACTCATTGAACTTTGAGCAGACAGCTTTTGTGAATCTGAATAAGGACAACTGACTGCTTGAGGGATGTAGAGGGAGAGAGACTTGAGCAGACCTCTATGTGAATATCTATCGACCTTTGTATTTTTTCTGTGAATGGAATATGTTGTTAGTCTTTATTACCAGACACTAAATATGTTACGGCTTTCGCACAGTCTCATTTGTTGTCGTATTGTTCTGTAGACATCTAGCACACGTCTGTATATATTGTTTTCATAGTAAAAGGAAAGGTAAAGGTTCCCTTGCTTGAAAGCCAGTCGAATCCGACTCTAGGGTTGCGGTGCTCACCTCCGTTTCAAAGCCGAAGAGCCAGCGCTGTCCGAAGATGTTTCCATGGTCATGTGGCCGGCATGACTAAACACCAAGGCGCACGGAACGCTGTTACCTTCCCACCGAAGCGGTACCTATTTATGTACCTATTTATCTACTTGCAATGTCTTGCTTTCGAACTGCTAGGTTGGCAGGAGCTGGAACTAGAGACGGGAGCTCACTCCGTCACGCGGCACACTCGGGTCTCGAACTGCTGAACTACCGACCTTCCACAGCCTGCAGTTCAGCGTCTTAACCACTTGAGCCACCGCAGCTTTTTTCATACCGACTTTAATTTTTTAAAAACATATATTTCTTGTATATTCCTGTTGTAAGCCGCCCTGAGCCCTGCTTGCAAGGGAGGGCGGCCTAGAAATCTAATAAGTGAAAGAAACCCTGCCCTCTCTGGGCGCCACCCCCATAATCTCCAAGAATCTCCCAACCCAGAGGTGGCAACCATAGCTGGGACCAATCTGGCTCTCAGTGGACTGAACCACACTGAGTGGGACTCAGCAGGGCTGCTGGGGGGAAGCAGCGGCCCCTTTCATCCCAAAGCCCCCCCGCCTCCAGCATCTCTTGCTTCACGAACACCCTCCCCCCCCAGCACGGTTGCAGGATCACCTGGGCCTGGCAGAGGTGGGCGTTCTGCGGGGCATCACAGGACCAGGGCAGGGGGCTCTGGAAGGACATGCCCAAGTAGTAGAAGGTCCAGGCGATTATGACGTTGTAGTAGAGGGAGACCAGCGAGGAGACCAGCAGCATCCCGATCCCGATACCTGCACGGGGAGAGGAGGGGGGGGGGTAAGCCTCCTCCGTGACAAGCTGCCCCCAGGAGAGAGCTGCCCCCAACGGCTGCCCGTTTACCGTGGGCAGACTCCTAAGATGCAGCACCCACCTCTTGGCGGAGCCGGGCCCCGCGGGCAGCTGCCAGTGGGACTCCAAGACCCAGTCCCATAGGGGGCCACTCAACACACGGAGGTTTGTTTAGAGAGTCAATATGGACTGTGTCCTTCAAGAGTTGATCAGTAGAAATGGATAAGAATTGGGGTTGCTACACCCTCAGATAAAGCCATTCTTGTGAAACGGGTCGCTTACATTGCGCAGCATTCGTTTGAGTGTGAGCAGTAATAGAAGAAAATTTTCTACGGAACGACTACAGCAAATGATTCTGCAAGCATGTCTTTATGGGCTCTTCGTTATTTCTGTCACAGATGCTGTTTTTGGAGCTCCACTTCCTCCCGTGATCTCTCATTTTCAACCTCCAGGTGGAGACTGGAGATCTCCCACTACTACAGTTGATTCCCAGATGATGATCCCTTCCCCTGGGGAAAATGGCTGCTTTGGAGGGTAGACTCGATAGCCCTGTACCCCGCTGAGGCCCTTCCCCTCCCCAAACCCCGCCTTCCCCAGGCTCTGACCCCAAATTCCCAAGAATTTCCCAGCCTGAAGTTGGCAACGCTAAGGCATCTCCTTTCCTATTCCAGCCTCTCTCTCTCTCTTGTGTATTTTTCGTGTGTGTGTGTATGCATGCATAAGAACATAAGAACATAAGAGACGCCAATGTTGGATCAGGCCAAAGGCCCATCCAGTCCAACACTCTGTTTCACACAGTGGCCAGAAATACCAGGTGCCCTCAGGAGGTCCACCAGTGGGGCCAGGACATTAGAAGCCCTCACACTGTTGACCCCCCCCCCAAGCACCAGGAATACAGAGCATCCCTTGCCCCAGACCGAGAGTTCCTATCTAGACTATGTGGCTAATAGCCACCGATGGACCTCTGCTCCATATGCCTATCTAATTCCTTTTTGAAGCCGTCCATGCTTGTAGCCGCCACCACTTCCTGTGGCAGTGAATTCCAAGTGTTAATCACTCTTTGGGTGAAGAAGGACTTCCTTTTATCCATTCTAACCCGACCGCTCAGCAATTTCATGGAGTGCCCACAAGGAGTTCTTGTATTGTGAGAAAGGGAGAAAAGTACCTCTTTCTCAACCTGCTCTTTCCCATGCATAATATTATAAACCTCAATCATGTCACCCCTGAGTCGTCGTTTCTCCAAGCTCAAGAGCCCTAAGCGCCTTAACCTTTCCTCATGCATGTGAGTCATGTTGAGCTCTGGTGACTGACCCCTATTGGGGGCCTGGAGGATAGTCAGAGGGGTGGCTGAGTAAAGCCTGCCCCTGCCTTGCACCTCTGGCATTCCTTGGAGGTTGCCCTTCCAGTTACTTGCGAGGTTCAGCCCTGCTTAGCTTCCGAGGTCTGGCAAGATCGGGCTTGTCTGAGCTACCCACGTCAGGACTTGTTCCAACCTCCCTCTGTTGATTTCTCTGTCATCAAGAAAAGTCGTG